AAAAAAAAAAAAAAAAAAAAAAAAAAGTGAACACCCCGTCGACCCCTTCAGTTAAACCGAGGGTGAAGACGGCACATGTTTATTTGTTTGGTTTACTCAACCATAGGAATGGAATATTTGAAACTTTTTTAACTTTGGGTTCAAAGGGAATTTCTTCCTAGGCCAAAAAGGCGGTCTTCCCCCCCCCCCTTTCCCCACTCCTACCTACCGCCCTGTCTAAAACGTACTAGTAATTTTAATAGAAACAATACTAACAGATATTCTCTACGCCGTTTAACAGCAGATTACTGACAAAGACAAAAAATTGATATGTATATAAGGAAAATGCAATTATAAAACGCTAACACACTGATAGTGGATCACGAATGACATCATATAGCTGGAATTTCATGCAGTCAGTTTTATGGGAATATAGGCTTACAGTTTATTTTGTATGGGAATTTTGTTAAACACCTATATGTACGTCAACATTTGATTCAGAGTGTATACAGGTACATGTTTTCCTGCCATGGTGGCTGTTTTACTAAACTTCTCGACCCCCCCCCCCCCCTCACGACCATGTTGCATGTGAACAACTGAGGTAAACACACTTCGGGGCAGTCGCGTGTGAGCATGGCACGTGCTGATAGACTGAAATACAAACACGTCCAACAAAAGCATGCCTCAAGATTACGGTATTCTCATGGGAACACGCACTGCTAGTGAATGAGAGGCACACTATAGAGAGGGCTGTATACATTTGGAACTCAGAAAACGGTGAAATTGTGCTTTTAAACTATCTACGGACTTAAATTTAGAATTAAACTGCATAAAGAGAAAAAACAATTGTAGAATTTTTTGTAACGTGTGCGTTATTTCAACCAGTTTAGAATAAAACTCCATAGAGAATTTACATATGTTCAAGTGTATGTAATTTGTGCGATTTCTCTTAAAGGCTTATGTACGGGGCTCAGTGCCTCCAGGCTGATTGTATTACAGCATAATGATAAATAAATGATTGTAGTTGATAACTGATAACTTCGTTACCGAGAAAGAACAATCAACAAAGTTAACGCCGATATCTCGCACGATGGGAATAGAGACATAAATTAGACCCTACTCGTCCACAAATCACGTTCTTCACATTGTATCGACCTCTTCAACCAGGATGTAATTTCAACTTCTTTTCATGCATTTTTGCACAGTGTACGAAACAAAAAGCAAGCACATATTTTGAGGTCCAACTCAAGAACTATTACTTTTAAAACGAGATGACATCAACAAAAACTGTGATCGCGCTGAAATATTGAAAGCCAGATTTGACTTCAGTGTTTTAGTCTTTTGTGGCCACTCGCGAAGGTCAACCGTTTCAAAAGCACCTTAAATTAATTTTAGCGCTTAGCGCGCCATATTTCGGCTTTTCTAATAATACTGAGCAAAATCGCTGGACATTTCGTTGCATTATAAACCAAGGTAAAAACGGACGACACCAATGTGTCCATGTGTCCTCGTTAGTGAAAGTCACAAGACGATGGAACTGTGCCAACTGAACAGGGCCCTTAAAATCTCCCTCGGCATGAATCATACTAAAGTGAAAAAGAAAATAGACCCCCAAATGAGGACCAGACTACAAAACTTTACGTCACAGTACGCCGGGACCTAACACCGAAGGGTTCATAACGAGAAAATCTCACAAAATATTGACAAGATCCGACAGGCAGGCATCCTGATATAGTGTCCCAGTGCGTGTCACATCGACACTGATATAATGAATCCCTTGCAGAAGTTTGGGGGTTTGTTTGTTGTATTTTTATTATCATCTTCAGGTAGGATGATTTTATTTTGTTAACATACTTTATATAATCACGAAGTGACATACACATGTATCTAATTTGTGATTGAAGTTCTTCCTAATGTTAACAGAGTCACAAAAAGACATGTATAACTACTGCACGGTTTCTTATCTTAAAACCGGAATAGTACACTGGCTGATCACACAGAAGATTAGAAAAGTACAATTATTTATTCAGATGTCCTAAAATGGAATTTTATATAGGGCGACGCAAGTTGAAAGTAGCGTTTTACCGATATATATAGCATATCCCAAATGGTGAAATTGTCCACACTGAGTCTCTGAAGCCCATAGTGCCATGTTTAATATTTTGCTTTCATATTCTCGAAATTATTTTAGGGGGAAGGGGGGGGGGGGTAAAATAATAACCTTGTGTTAACATTGTCTCAAAGAATTGTCCTTGTTAAAAAAATTACTATGGGTAGGTATAGGGTTATAAAATGCGTCACTTAGGTAAACATGATGACAGCATCTGAAGTTCAAAATGTATTAAATTACGCCCAGCTTTTTGATAATGTGCACTTGTAAATGGAATGAAATAGAAAAGGAAGAGAAAACATATGGTATTTAATATCGATACTTTTTATGTACAGACACAGATTTGTCTGCACATAAGCCATCGCCTGTGTCTGTCGTCGTAGTCGGCGTTATATTACTGTCGGTGAATAGCTACTCAGCTAATGTTTGTACTTTCATTCTTTCCGACATAAAATAAACTTTATTGTATTGTATTTATTGTAAATAAATTGAAAACCATTTCACCTTTTGTCTTCAAACTTACAAAACTGATAAATATTTATGAAATACAGGTCAACTTCGAAAATCAGTCTGCAGATGATCGGACCATTTTTCCAGAAGTTATGCTGTTTATTATTATTATTATTATTTCAGCATATTTTATCCACCGTAATACAAATACAATGAAAATACCGTCACATTTTACTTTGAAATATAGATCAAGTTCGAAAATAGGCTTGATTTGTTTATATTTGTTGAAGTTATGCTGTTTTTGTATATAAATGGGTTTTCCTCATGGGACATTTTAAATTGTTTTATTGATATTTGCCCCAACTTAATGATTTTGTAGTCGATCATTTAAAAATGAAAGTAAATTGGTTATTGTGTATTATGTTATAAGTGTTGAAAATGAAAATAACTCATTTCATTACTTGTGTACATACCGGTGTTTTTAAGGTGTGACTTTTCCATGGGCCTGATGACCTTTGCTAGTCACATTTTCTAGACATCTATGTTGCCTGCAGTGCATAATTTAAAACTGATGGTGATTATGTGCTGTTAAGCATTAAGTAACACTGCATCAAAATCGATAATAAAATATTTTGTCTACTTCCACTACAAATGCTCTAAATGAAAAACTTATTATTATGTAACTCACAAGAATGATTGGCAAATTGGCAAACCAGCTTGAGATTGGATGCGTTTTCTTTCTTGATGTCTGGACATTTGACAGCTTTGCTGCCTTGTTTGTATTTACTTCCTGAAATGCATCCTGGATCACAGCACACTTCAACTATTTTCATGTCAGTTATTTTGTTAAACAAAACCCAGATTAGTCGTCGTGTGAGCTCGAGTATATTATATATCCCTCTCTTAAATAGTCCAACCGTTCTTTACATCTTACCCATAACAGTGACACTCAAGGGCAGCAACAGGATAACAACACAGGCATCCGCTCTGACAAATAAAATAAGTATCTGTATTTCCTGTCCACTTGTGCCCACTGAGTCATTTGATATAAGTTATATCGCTGTGTTTCAAAACTGAGAGGCCTCCCGCACGAAAACGCAGTAGATGCTCCAGCGTAGTAGACTACTGCAATCATACTGCAAATATGCCTCAAATCTGCTTCGCATTGNATTAATGTCCTCCTCTGTACAACCCTATGCAATTTTTGAAGTAGAATTGCAGTAGGGTATACTGCATTTCTACTGCAAATATGCTCCACACCACTACTGCGTTAATGCTTCTTTGCTACTTCGATACTACTGCATTTTCGTGCGGGCTGTGAGACTGTGATAAAGAAAATATTATTGGCACTATCTGACGGACGTGTGTATTGCCTATCAACTGTGAAAAATGTTCTTTTTCTACGTTACCTTATTTTTGTTTCGATAATGAACGTATTGATGGTCGTTTAATTTGATTTACTTTTTTTACAATCATTTCACAAGATACAAGGAAAACCTACTTCAGTAATGAGGTGGTCCCTAAAAAGCTATATATTGGGTCGTAAAGCTGCATATTGGGTCGTAAAGCTGCATATTGGGTCGTAAAGCTATATATTGGGTCGTGGTCATGAAATACATGCACAAACTTGACATTTAATATGGAATATTTTTTCCAAATTATTTTTCATCAGTTTTTTTCCTATTTTGCTGACTGATAAATGAAAATAAGGATTACAATCGTGTTTTAATAACTTTTAATTATCTCTTTGATGTCATTGTGACATCAGTTCGTCAATGGAATTCGCCCGAGAAACAAACAAAAAAACATCGCTATTCTATGCCATACGACAACCATTAAAAGAGATATTTTGGATCTCCATATTTTCCAAATTATTGTCTGTAAAAGAGTTAAACGCTCCACAAAGGACCTTCATGACAGTGTCTAGTCACAGTAACGGTCGCTGTTACGCCTGACCTCTTCTGGCTGCTACCAGCGCTCTCAGGTGGCAAGGCATTCCTTGGGATAGGTTTTTAGAGTTCAATCTGGAATAATATTCCAGGCATCGGTCAAAATCTGTCCAAGTTGTTGTAGGACATGTAGGCCATTGATTCGGCGAGCAATAGCATACCCACATATTGCCTATGTGGTTCAAATATGGCGATTTTGATGACAAAGGTAGCTGCTCATTCCCTTGGTTCTG